TAGGCATATGAAAGAGAACCCAATCTTCTTAATGCTTACTTAAGCAATATTGAAAACGGTATCATAAATAATGCCTGGGTGAATGAAAAGTAAACAGATTTAGGCTATACCCGATAAGATTTAGCTTTGTAATTTGAAACCAGCTTCGTAAACTTCACCCGAATATATAATTTAGTGATTTAAAAAGTTGTCTATAAGATTTCAATGCAGGTGGATCCTTAAAACACGAATCTAGCCTTAAACCATAAACCGAAACAAAGATAGAAAACTTACTACTTTAAAAATTAATCGCATACTCGTCGCAGTAAAACTTTTGATAACCCTTAAAGAGAAATCTGTCAAGTAAACTTTAAAACCATAAAACAAAGCAAAGAAACTAATATAAAATTTACAAAATAGTTTAAAAATTAATCACTAACCGAGCAACGTATTTTGATGTTCCAGAGTTACTTTTATTTATTCAGAGGCTGCCATAAATAATAAATATCGCAAAATAATTTGAAAACGACGGCGGGCAAAACAAATTTATTTCCCACTTGAACCCCCGACAACAATGCCATAAAAGGGGTTAACTGTCAGAATCATGGCGCATCTATACGAAACCACCTACAAGCCCCCTGACATCCAGGGGAGCTGTCAATGCCGATGGCAGCCAGGCCAACAAATTCGCAGGCTATGCCCTGAAGCCAACGCAAATAAAAATGACAACAAAACAATCCTCAACAAAGGCAAACAAAAATGGGAATACAAACAGAGACAGTTAGAAAACGTAGGAGGTTCAAAACCCCCGACAAAAGAAATGGGGGCCGACACACAAAAGCCAACCATGGATATGACGGGAGTACGAGTATGATTCAATTCCATTAGCAGACTTTATGCACAGCGAACTCGACACAGCGAAAATCGATGAGCTTTTCCCAACGCTGTTCGCCAAATTTTCTTCTAATTCCTAGCGCACGCAATGCAGTTTTCTAGTTTTCCAGGGGAAAAGGGGCTGACTGCTAATGGGAAATTGCAGGGAGGTGGTCGTCGCCGTTGTGGGAGAAGCGTGAGTAAGTTGGCCACGTCACTCGCTCGTCCCAGATTGCCAGCAAAGTTTAAAAGTCATGTCTGACATTTTGGCAACACGTAAATCCGCGCACTTCCTGGAAACACCCTCGATGAGAACCAAGTGGGTGGCCAATCGGGGTCAGAACACGGTGGATGGGGAAAGTAGGGATAGATAGTCCCTATATAAGCTCAGCGCGAAAAACGCCACAACATGCTGCTAAATTTGTTGTGCACTTTTCACAGCTAACGAAGTGGGAGACCATGGAATTCTATTAGAAATTCAAACGGAAGTAGTACTTTTGTTAGGGCAGCAAATTGCTAGAAATATTTTACAAGATGGATGATTACATAAGTTTAAGGGAGAAATACATTTCTGGATTAAGTACCAGACTCCATTTAAATATTTTTATAGCAGCCGTCGACAGAGTCCCACTAAACAGTTATACGGAGTAGTTCTGCTCAGTCTCTGCCGGCACACGTACAGCGTACAAAAGAAGTCGTCACACGCTTATAAATAAGACAAACAGTCACTACAATCCGATCCGACCGCTGATTTATAACTATAAAAAGTATTTTTTAAACGGGAAGATAACCCGGTAACCAAAAATGCTTTCAGAGATAATTCGATATTACTTACTAATATTAAAATGTCACAATAGTAAACCCCAAATTACCACAAAATGCTAATCAAACAAAGAAAAACCTCCAACGAATGGATCCCATAATTCACGACAGTCAAAAACCAACCCTCTCAATATCAAGCCATATTCATATTGTAGCACGATACCATTCTGCTTGTAATGACAAATGTCTTTTAGCCATCAATCCCATATAGACGACACATATATCACACACACTCATGCCAACCTTGACCCATAAAAGCTAATGAATTTAATTAACCACCCTCAAGGAAGTCGTCGCAAGTAAACATGGGCCAGGCCAAGTGGCAGGACTCTTCATATGTGGGACAATACAGGCAAACACTTGAGCCAGTTAATCCATTTGTGGGGTTATGGCAGAGGAGAAGACAATCGATATGGGGATAGGCAAGTGCAAAATTAGCCAGCGAGGCGCCCAATCAATTAAAGAGTAATCCAATGGGGAATACCCGTCAGGACATGCAAAGCTTCAAGTGCATTTCCTTTGTCATCTTCCGCATAAATAATTCAAATAGCGCCTTCCTTCAGACGCGACGACGCTTTTCAATAGCTCCGCTGCACAAAGGACTCGAGGGGGACAATGGCAATGGCCCTCCTGCACCCTCTATAAGCCCACACACACCGCCTTCGGAGGAAAATGCATGGAAAAGTTTCTTTTATTTGTCTATTGCTGACAGGAAGTGCGGCAATCTGAAAGTAATTTCAGCGTAATTGGATAGTTGCTTGGGTCGTGCGTAAACGCAGCCCATTAAAAAACTTAGTTGTCTGTCACGAGGGAAAACAAACTCAGGCATATTGTAAATTTAAAATCGATTTGCTCTTGAAACTCGTTGGAGAATAATGATAGCAAAATGACTATATTGATCTACCCCTATTTTATATTTTAAGGCATTAGTTTACGAAACAATTTGTAGAATTCCTGAATCAAATTTTTATTTAAAATCTATTTAAAAGTAAGAAGGAACGAAGTAATAAAAGGTGTTATTTAAAAATTAGTTCCCACATAAAATATTTGATTATCAAGAGTAGTTTTATAGAAGTTTTAGCTGAACTCGGGGTGCTATCAGTTTTATAAAACTTGGAATCCTGTTGAAGTTTCGACAATTACCAGAGTTTTTGCTCGTCCTTTCCACTACCGCCAATCTGCAATTTCCTGTTGTTTATCTAAGAGACAAATGAGCAAGTTAAAAGTTTGTTTTTCACACGTATCCTCTGCGGGGAGATGAACTCAAATCGTACTCAAATATTCATATGGTTAGACTTGCCAATCCTACGAAAATAGAAAAGACTGGCGGGCACATACTCGACGATATACAAATATCGAACAGGAATCGGAAGGTGGGATGGTTTTGTTGTTCTGTTTTTGGCACTCACCATTTTCGATGGTCTCCTTGGCACAGGATATTATTTTTCCTTTGCGACGTCGCAAATTTGATTCGAAATTGTTGTCATCGGTGAAATCATCCTCGCCGCCATCCCTTGGTGCTCCTCCTCCGCCGCCGCCAGCGTCGCCGGCTGTTGTAGTCGCCGTCGTGGTCGTTGTTGCTGTGGAGTCCGGCACATCCTCCGAGGACTGACGCTCCGAGAGGGAAGCTCCATCGCCTTCACCATCTCTGCCGTGCATTAGACTTTTGAAACTTTGGCTCATGCTGTGCCAAAATTCGTCTTTGATTTATTTTTTATTTTATAAGTTACAGCTGATTGATATTTTATATGACTTCGCTGCGACGCCTTCAATCTTTTCGTTTATAAATTGGCACAAGATCTCACTTTTACCATGTTTTCTCCTAAACTATGTTTAATCAAAATAAAATCAGAGGTCAGCAGGGTTCCTTAAAGCGGGCATACAGAATAGCTTTGCTCAGCCTCTGCCGGCACACGCACAGCGTACCATAGCTACTCCTTAAGTTAAGCAGGTAAAATCGTTTACAAATTGGCACAAGATCTCACTTTTAGCATGTTTACTCATAAACTATGTTTAATTGAATTTAAATTAATCAGGTAACGCGAAAAAGTAGGCAACGCAAAAGGAAACTAGGGTTTTGGTTACAATTACGAATTACTTAATCGAAGGAAAATGCTCCCATTTAATGCGTGATTCGAAGGAAAACTTGGGGGCAGAACTTAGTAGCACGCCATTCGCTGGTGAAAGTATTAAAACCAAGACGTTGCCGGCTTGAAAGACGTTTTGTTGTTTGTGGATGGCTAGTAAAAGTGGGTTGGTCTGTGTTGGTGCAAGTTATGAGGGGTGGGTTCAGACATTACGCACAACCACAAGACCGATCCTAAATGCGTTTTCAAAACGCAGAACCACTAAGGAGCTTTCCCAGACAAGTTGCCTCCATCGAGAGTGAACCGAGTAACCTTTGTGAAAACCAAAATGAAATCCAAATGGTTTTCTTATTTCATAATCATTTCTTGCATTTAGGTTAAACAATCTTCCAGACAACAAGAACACCGCTTTAATAAACACGAGCCAAGAGGCTAAGAACATTTATTTTTTCAGACCGAATCACTAAGCTTTAAAAGCCAACGACTTGATTTATTTAAAAACAGTTAAACAACATTACTTTTTCCTTGTATTTGGAAATATGTCATGGGAAACGCGCGTCAAAAAGAAAGTGTTTGCTCGCTGGGAAATGCCGTCACAGACTGAAATGTCTTTCACTTGGCTGCGGGAGTGAAAAACCCAACTCAAAGAGCAGCAGCGTGGTGGGTTTCTCAGTTATTGATTTTGTTCTGCAAAGACAGCAAACGCAAAAGGGCAACATTTGTGGGTCGGTTTGCGTTTTTGGGGGAGGACTGTTACAGGCAGGGCGAGGCATCGTTCAAAAAGCCGGCTTTAACGGAGAGCGAGAGAGCCAACAGACAGCAGGCAAACAACAAACAGTGAAACACGAAGGATGAGTAAAGTACATAAAAACAAACACATGCTTATGTCCGTTATAAGGAGTTAAAAGGATATATTAAGAATCCATTATTTTAACTACCCATGAACACCTTTCAGTTATAAGCAGTAAAGCTACTAGCACCCAATATTATAATATATTAAGAATCCATTAATTGATTCAAATCTCACCTGTTTATTTCATTTATATCTTCTTACTATGTAAAAAAAATTTTAGAATATACCACACTACACCCTGTGAACAGCGTCAAAATTAGGTTTTACCACTAAAAAAATATATTAAAAACAGGCCATATTTTTGGAAATTTCTTTTAATGAAATTTATTCTTATTTAAACGATACGTCGAATGGGAAAACTAAAAATAAGTAAATTCGTACGCAAATTCTCTTAAGATGCATTTTTATAAAGTTAAGGCTACTATATAGTTGTTATATACGCCTATGGAATTCGAACGTTAACGAGGGGTGGACTCAGTCAATCTTAATTCGATAGGTTCAAACAGTTAACATCTACGACCCAAGTTTAAGTCCCTTAGTCCCAATCCTCGTTATTCTCGGCGTTGGTTATGTCGGAGATGGTATTTCCCTGTGTATAAAATTCATAAATCAGTAAACGCATACAGTAAAAAGTTCTGTGGGTAAACTTACGCCACCACGGACATCCACGCCACCAAAGTTCTTGCTGGAGTAGCCTCCACCACCGCCGCCACCCCCGCCAATTTCGCGAAGGAACTCCGGAACAGTCTGATTAGCTCCCTCCAGGATTTTAATCAAGTCTACAGCGAGTCCGCGATCCTGGTCAGGATCAAAGAACGAGGTGGCACGACCATTATTTCCGACACGGCCAGTGCGACCAATGCGATGCACATAATCATCGATATTGTTTGGCATATCAAAGTTGATCACATGCTTGATGTTCTTGATATCTAACGGAACAGAAGAAATGTGTTAGATTTTCAAATCAAGAAGCTAGGCTCTCCAAGCTCTTACCAAGACCACGAGAAGCCACCGATGTGGCAATGATAACCTTCATGGATCCATTCTTGAAGTCACGCAAGGCCTGCTCGCGTTGACTCTGGAGACGATCGCCATGGATCGAAGTGGTCGGAAATTCTGTTTCCGAAAGAAACGAAGCCAAGAAGTCAGCGCCACGCTTGGTCTCTACAAAAACGATGGTACCATCCGCTTGCTCGCGAAGGATTTCCTTAAAAATCAAACGAAAACCAGGATTTTAATAGCATTATTAAAGTTTATGGACAATTTTCTGACTTACCATCAGCTTGGCTCGCTTGGCGAACTTGTTAACCTCGAAAATGGTCTGCGACACATCGGAACAGGCCCCTCCAACCACGCCTATGGTTACGAAGACATAGTTCTTCAAGAACTCTCCCGCCAAGCGCTGAATTTCCTCCGGGAAAGTGGCCGAGAACATCAAAGTTTGGTGCTCCGGACGCATAGTCGGGTGGGTCATAAATTTGCGCATGGTTTCCGAGAAGCCCATGTCCAGCATGCGATCGGCCTCGTCCAACACAACGAAGCGAGTGTCACTGAAGGTTATGAAGGTACGCTCCACAAAGTCCATCAGTCGTCCCGGAGTAGCGATTAGGACATGGCAGCCCTTTGTAATGCACTCGTTCTGATGCTTGAACGAGGTGCCGCCGTAAACAATGCTGATCTTCAGATACGAATCGTAGCCAAACTTCCTCGCTTCACTGAAGATCTGAATAGCCAGCTCCCTAGTTGGGGATACAATCACTGCCTGCGGCTTTCCAATCTCGACATCCTGGGGATCATCCAGCAATTTGGTGAGGATCGGCAACAGAAAAGCAGCAGTTTTACCAGAGCCAGTCTGGGCACAAGCCATCAAATCACGACCAGCGGCAATCACTGGGATTGACACCTTCTGGATTGGGGTCGGCACCTTGTAACCCGATTTGGTCACGTTCTCTACGACAATGCCACGCAATTTAGCGTCGTCAAAGTTCTTGATGGGCTTCGGCACATCCTCGCCGCTCACCTTAACAATATAAAACAGTCATTAGTTTTCACAAGTCTTCTGATTTGATAGTATAATAGGTACCTTGACGGGAATGTTGTCGTACTTGGAGAAGTTAATGCCCGAAGTGATGCCACTACTGAAGATCTCCGTTTCATCGTTAGACGGCTCCGGCGGAATATAAAATTCACGCGGCTTCTCGCCATTTTCGCCGACCTCATTGTTGTTGTTCACATCATCGTCATTGCGACGGCGTCTCTCAAAACCGCCTTCTCCCTTCTCGCCGCGTTCTCCGCGCTCCCGATTGAAGCGGCCTCCCCGACGTTCTTCGCCTAAATAATAATAAGTGATTTCGTAAATAAAATAAGATTGCTTAAAAGAAACAATTCAATTGTATACAAAAATTCAACACCTAAGGATTCACATAATAAATAACGATAAACGCAATACACTTGCTACAACTAAATCAAAAAGCATTTCAAAGTATTTTTATATATTTCATCAATAAAACAAATTAAGTTTAGAAATTAAAAATTCCAGTAAAAACTTTACATTTTAAAATCTTATAATCGACAAATATTGCTTAAAATAGGAAATAAAGGGAAAAATTATATATCATCCGAACTAAGAGTCAATAGATACATTTTAAAATTGATTAAATTAAAATTTCTCTCCATATTTATAATAATCCCAGATATTTCATTACAGTTCAAATATAATTTGTTTTCAAATTAAAAAAGAAAATTTCAGGAGACTATTAATATTCTTATAAATTATAGTTATGTATTTTTTTTATCGAAGGGAAAAGAATCTACCATCCGAACTAAGATTTATGAAATTTGCTGTCTTAAGCTCAAGTAAATAACGGCATGTGATCACCGCATCTCTACGATTCCGAATAAAGGACGCATTCTTCATATCCACCTGAGGCTGTCTGATGAGGACCTCAAACAAGCCATGGACAAGCCGAATCTTGTCCTTTTCCATGTTTATAATGATCTTTGGATCGTAGACCTTAACAGCGGGCATGGAATAATAACTAAACAAGCCTTCGCGATTAAATAGCAACCGGGACTTTCCCTCTGCACTGAGTTGCTTGTGACGATCCACCATTAGACGTAGCATACTAGCGTGTTTTGAAATGAAAGCCAAATCCTTAATTGACACCCGATTCAGTGGATTTTGCGTTGCTGTCCTAGGCTCCTTTTGTGTTTGAAGGCCTTCTGTTGATGTCACTGTGGAATCCATTTTTTTTCGGCTAGCATCTACATCTATGCTAGCGATATTAAAAGATTGAATCTCCAGCGTTGGCAGTACCTGCACATCAGTCACATAGGCATGATCGCTCATATTAGCCAATGTGCTTGAAACCTGCAGAGGGGCATCGTCAATATCCATTGGCATAAGTTGTATCGAGGTATTTTCTGCCGATGTATTTTCCGTTGGCATAAGATGTACCGATGTGTTTTCCATTGGCATTAGTTGTATCGACGTATTCTCCATTGTCGTAAGTTGTACCGAAGTATTCAGTAAGTTAGATTTGTCCACCATTTCTGGTTTAATTTCATGAGAATTTATTGGACCAACTATAATCTTATTTGGATCCTGAACGATGGGAGTAGAATTTATTGGAGGTAATAGGGCAGTAGCCGAATCAAACGGAGCCATCTGATCTTGAGCGTTAACATAAATATCCAAGGGAGCTACTTCAAGATCCTGGAAAGCAGCTTTTAATGGCATACTAGCTCCAGAATCGGAAAACTTTTGAAGATCATGAACCAACTCCATGGAGTTGGTAACTGATATAGCTGGATCTATCTGCGGCAATCCAGGAGATTTTATTTCGGTTGGAGGAGGCATCACTTCTGTCACTCGTGAAGGATCCACCACCGCCGCAGCATTCTGCAGGAAGTCAGACATAAAAGTGGTGGCAATATGACGATTGCTTCGCATTGCTTCCTCGTCTCGGATTGGTTGTTCCGGTGTTGTTGGCGGAGTGGGAACTGCAATAGGGCGAGGAGGAACTCGTACTCGGGGACGTCGGACCCTGGCTGCTCGTCTGGGAGCTGGCCCTTCGACATAGTTAACCAACTGATCCCGTGGCCGGAAAACACAGATCCATTCACGTGGCGGACTCAAAGGAGGGGTCACTGGCAATGCAACTGGCAAAGCAACCTCTACAGCTGCCGCAGGTTCTTCCAATATGACTGCGTTGGCCTCCTCTTCCGGTGGCAAAGACATCTGCAGCTCACGTGACGCCCTGGTTAGGGTGAGGGTGAGCGGGCGATGGTGCTCCTCATCAATAACCGGCAGTCTGGGCTGGAACGACGGAAAGGGAGTCAATGATGGGGTTCCTACGAGCCGAGAACGCCCAACTGATAAACCAGCCTGTCCCATTGCGGCGGTTTCATCCCCATCCGTCGGCAGGACCAAGGTGCCGCTGTCCAGTTCCAACTCCAAGGAATGTTGACCTGGCAGCGATGGACCAATTGGCGTCGATGCTGCTCCTCCTGGCACCGCCAATGGAATGGCGCCATCGTCATAGGTCAGATTGCGTATAAATGACAAACTGTGAAACGCATATTACTAAGCTTATGTACCATTTGAAAGTAAAGCAAGGAGCAGTGAAAGGATAGTGGTATAGAGAGCATGCCGAGTTCATTTTAGGGAACAAAAATTGCCGAAAGTCATGCTGTCAAAATTGAACAATTCTGAGTATGTTAAAAATTTCGGTAATCACCTAAATTTTGTTTAGTACTTGTAAATTTTAAATGTGTGTTTCCCCCTTGATAAACAGCCGCGTGTTGCCTAAAGGAACTTCGGAGCACCCTCAGATGGTAAGAAAGGAAAGGATAGTACTAGTTATTTGGTTAAAATACCCTGGATCGCTGTTTTGTCCAAGTGGGGTGCTCGAGGCACGCATAGCTACCCTGTCGGAGACACCAGCTGCGGATAAGGGGGTTCCTTGATTCGATTCGTAGCGACTGACGGGTGTATTTTGATTCTGAGACCGGTTTTGTCGTGCCAAGTTCACTAAGCTGCTGGCCTGCACAATGCTAGAGTTGTCCGCTCTGCTGCCACCAGTCTCAACAGCAGCTACCAACATTTTCCTACGAACTGCGACAAAAATCCCGATTGCATTTTGGCACCTTGAGTGGCTCTCCCAAGATGGCTTGGGGACATTTGGCCAAGACAATTTGTGACGAAACTCGCGGGGACTGCGAAAAGATACTGTTCTTATTTCATGGCGAACGACGTACTCCTCACTCAACCAGTGGCGAAATCTGGTAGTGCCATAAGTGAGTTCAGGCCCTGTGCTCCTTTCGTCTTCCGATAGTCCAGCACCATCAATAGACATCCTGTGAGGATTTGGAACAATATTCTCAAACTGAAGCAGCTCTTGGGATGCAAGTCCAATCTTGGTTGTTTCTGTGGCTCCTGTTGCTTCTCTTGGTCGACCGCCCTCAGGTCCCCTCGTCCTGACCTCCGAAGATTGGGGCACCACAAATTGTGGTGAAGTCAGCTCCACTTGCGACATGTTTGCTCTCCAATCTACACCCATGTCTTGAAACTGCCTTAAAACATTTGCCTCCTGTTGCAGTGCACCTTCAGTGTCGATTAGCAATCGGTCCATGTTCTCTATAAAGCGATCCATCATGGCCTTCGTCTCGCGTATCTGATGCGCTTTTTGAGCACGCCTTTCCTGATCAAGTCTCTCCAGAGAATCCCACTCTTTGTTCACCAAATCCTTGAAGGCCTTGAACAAATAGTCACGCAATTCCCGAACGCTTGCCAGGCTGGTTGTGTACTTGACCAAATCCAGCTGATCGATGAATTCGCCCACCACATCCTTATCCAAGCTGGATGGGATCGGTGGCAGCTCTATAGCTGAAGTTGGCAAACCCACCAATTGGTCGAATTCGGGAGCACAAAACGAAAAAACAAACTACATGACAAAACAATGCACAAACACAGCGTTAAACAGAGACGTAAGTTACCTATTTTTAGGACGTTTTGGTCTTAGATTTAATATTTAATTCAGAAAATGTACTTACCATCTTCATTGTCGTCGCGACGACCTCGGAACCCTCCGCCGCCTCCTTCACGGCGGCCCCCGCGGTAACCACCTCCATCGGCGTCTCCATCGCGATCTCCTCCCTTGTTATAGCCGCCTCTCTTGCCGCCATCGCCTCCAGCGGAGCTCTTACCAGTGTCCTCATCATCGCTCCAACCGGAAACTTCCTTGGTAGTGGTGGCTGGCACAGAAGGCTGAAAAAAACTCCATTTAGTAATAATGTCAAAATTGTGGTTTTAGTTTATACATACCTCATCTCCCCAGTCTGACATATTGGTGGATTCTTAATAAGCTAAAAAAATAATAAAATTAGTATAAATTGTTTTCGTAGTTATGTAGTCCAAACATCAAATCTTGCTTTACAAAAACCACTACATCGTTTGATGGCTAACTTAGGTTCTTGATAAAGATCTTTTTTAAATCTTTAACTGATTTCTGAAAATCCAACTTCATATTCAGTTAGTAACTATTATCTGATCCACTAACTGAATATTAATTTAGATTTTCAATACCACCTTTCGTTTTTTAAATAAAGGTTTTTAAGGGCCTTCACCTACAATAAATCAAATCCTTTACGCTTGTGTAGAATACCTATATTTATTATGGGTATTTTTGTATCAAATCTTAATTACCCAGAAGTCAACCAAAAATCAAACTGGCGCCCAAATCGGAAACATCGCCAAGTGCTCAATAAACACAGATCAATGCTGTAGGATTAGATTAACCAAATATTATATTTGTACCGACTTTATAGCCTTTTTATCCCCTTTCATTACAGATTCTTCCGCCAATGTCATGAGTTTTTCGAACTAAAAACCAAAGCCCGCCCAAGCTAGAGCCCACTAAACACAGCTGCCATTCTGAGGGAAACTAGCCATTCGCCGCGAAACGCGTGGAAAAACGTGAGTTTCTGTTTTTCTATGTATACCAAGAACACATGTGGGCGCCCCTGTGTGCGTGAGCTGGCCCATGTGCGTGAGGAATCGCGTGCGCCAGTGTGTGTAGGTAATACTAGCAGCGAGGCGAAGAAGAAACGCTGAAAATTAAGGTTAGAGAGCAGCAGCCACCAAACAGCCAGCAGAAAAGTAAGAAAAATCCCCCCAAAAGGCCTACAAAAATTGCGAAAATTCAAGTTAGTCAAAGTCCTTTCAACGTAAATCACAAATTACAAGAAAATTCAGACTGTTCCATCACAGTTTGTCATACAAAAATATCAAAGAAAACCTCAGAAATCTCGATAGGGTGTGAGGCGCGGGCGAAAAAGGAAAATCAATCAATTCCTACTAAAAACTGTGTGTTCAAATTCTCTTTTGCAGTAAAAAAGGCACGAGAATAAAGGCAGCCAGCTAGCGAAAATAAAAACAAACAACACACCCATCCATAAAATCATGGACAGCGCCGGTAAAAATCGTTATGAACTCTTGTTCATGGACGACGATGTCAGCGATCCATTAGATAATCTTGTGGCGCCGACGGCCGCCGCTGCCTCTGCCGCAGCAGCAGCCGCTGGCAAGAAGAAGCAGCCGTCAGCTGGTGCAGCGGCCACCAAAACGACCGCCAAGGTGACCAACAACAACAACAAGGCGGCCGCAGGATCCAATCTCGGCGGACCCAATGCCAAGAAACCGAACCAGGCCGAGAAGGAGAACAAGCCGAACAACGCCTTAAACAAGACCGATGGCAAGAAGTTTGCCCCATCCGCGGACAAGCCACAGTTCAACAACAACAAACAGCAGGGTGCTCCACGGCCAGGTGGCGCCAACCGAACACGTGAGTTCGGCAGCGGTCAAGGACAGGGTCAAGGACAAGGCGGACAGGGTCAGCAGCGCAGCGTCAACTTCCGTCAACAGAATGGCAATGGCAACACTGTGGAATCCCGCGAGCAGCGCAACAACCGCCGCAACGTCCGCGAGAACGGTGGAGCACCCGATGGCCAGCAGCAGTCGCGTCCCTACCGCGGTCCAGGCGGCGGCCAGGGCGGTGCTGGTGGAGATCGCCCGCAGCGCCAGAACAGGAACTACGATGGCCAGAACAGGAAGCGCGAGTTCGACCGCCAGTCGGGATCCGATAGAACCGGTGAGTAAGAGCAAACCATAAGATAAATCCATCTTAGATGATGTGCTTTACTGAATCTAAACACTCAGGTTGAAGAATAAACGTAGACTTCTGGTTATAGATAGGTTATAGAATAGAATCTCTACTGTGGGTAAAAGACGTTCGACTTATAGGGTTCCAGATCAGAAAGATTGGATATTGCTCATGGCACAAGGTCAAAATAGGCTAGCCTAAAGAAATCACTGAAGACCATGTTCTTATCCCACCACTTAACAATAAATTCAAATGTTTATCACCTCAATAAATACCATTTTGATATTTTAAAAATTAAACTATAATGCTCGACTATATCTATCATATTATAGGTTCAAGACTATTATACTGTTCTTAATGTCAGATTTAAAAATCTTTAAATTTATTTATTGCTATCAACATTTTCATCTGTGCTGGTGGCGATCTAAAGCTGAAGCTAAACCATCGTGGGGCACAGCAGACATAACCACAAAATGAGCAAGCCCGCCCACCTATAAGAAAATTTAGAAATGAAACAAAAACAACGCTCCATGACAACCAGAAAAGCGAACTCAGCAGGCAGGAAAAACACATTCCATCCATAGTTTACACGCAACCTATTATCATGTTTTGTTTATATTCATGTGAAAATATTAGCCGTCTTCCAGCTAATATTGCTCAGATCTTATACTCAATTGATATTAGCCAATAAGCCAGAACAATTATGTTACTTGAACCAAATAAATTCCTCATAATTATTGTAAACTACTCATGACCGAAAACTTCAAGAAGTATCATCAATAAAAAAAACTACTATTTCATTATTCCTAAAATGAAACTCCAATTAGCGAGCTCAATCAGCTAAGAGCAAGTGCACTTAAAAATCTATCTATAATTAAACAATTTATATATAAACGCTCAAGAAAATTATTTGATAATTATAAATTAACAAGCGATTTGAGAAAATATGAGACAATCCCAAATGCCAAGATACCGACTAGATTAAATGGGAAATGGCAGAGTGTAAACCATTTGCGGCACAACAAACCCCCATAAACATATGGACAATGGGAAGCAACCCAGCAAATCTGTCGCTCACGTGGTGGATCAGTCAAATCAATACTAATGGTCAGACAATATTCAACAAGCAGCTAGCTACACAACACACTTCCATCCACCAAATAAAATCAGCTTCCTCGCATTCTCTGTTATTCACTGCCTTCTCAGACTGTTTCATTTTTGGAATATCCAAAATTATAATAATCACAACGCAGCAACAGAAAAGAAGAAGCACTACAGCACACAAATCGAAAGAGAAAATGTGTTAAAAATAGTTTGCCCATCTTCATGGCGGCATTCCCGTCTAACGCAAGTGCTTGTAGGAGGCCTTTGCAAGGCACAAATGGGGGAACAGTTCCCCCACTGAATCTGATTACAGCGAACGGGTGCTGTCGGCTTATCTGCCACCATGCGAGGGCAGTGAAAAGGCCTAACGTGGTTAGACTTCAATGGGCAAGGTGATTCCCGGCCATAGTTGACCCAATTAGCGCCGTATTGATAGAGGGTATTGTTAGAAAAATAGCTCGCATTTGGATTGGAGTCTACGAATAGTAGAGGTTTTTGCTATTAAAGCAGATTCATGCTAGGCCAAACTCCGAAAATAGGTTATCTTCGTTCAAATTTAGTTCCAGAATAGAATAAGCCATTATGTTTTACTTTACTTAATATCCAAACTCACCGATTTAGTCAAGAAATTAAAATAAGCTCGAGCTCTCTGTTAAAAAATAAATTAGAATTAGATAAATAATAAATTTTGAAGATATGATAACTTACTTGTAGCTTGAACGCAAGTTTCCAGATAGCTTTTGTAGGCTTTGGCTAGTTTCCAGATAGCTCAGGTTTTTCTTACAATTGGCTTTGCTGTAATTAAACACAATACAAATCATTATTAATTTGTGTAATCTTGTATTATCCACAGGTGTGAAATCAATTGACAAGCGGGATGGAGCTGGTTCCCACAACTGGGGATCGGTCAAAGAGGCTATTGACGATGTGAACAAGAACGAAAGCGAGACCAATGTGACCACTGCCGAGGGTGGAGCCAAGGCTGACGAATCGGGCACTGAGGCACAGACCGAGGCGCAGGCTGCCGCCGAGGAGGAGGCCAAGGAACTGACCCTGGACGAGTGGAAGGCACAGCAGGGACAACGCATCAAGCCAACCTTCAACATCCGCAAGGCTGGAGAAGGTGTGTGAACAATGGAAATCTATGGGTTACCATTTTAATTAAAATATTTTAACAAGATAATTAAGATAATTGTAACTGGAAAAGTGAGAAATAATCCTTCCTTCATTACAATTTTGGGATAATCAATGTTGAGAGCTTTTAGAAACACAATTCCTATCTATAATATTCATGCTAAGCTGAAGTCAGCATGTTAAATTTCAATCTGTTCATTTTCACAACTTATTTTCAAAGGAAAGACTAACTCGTTTTATAATCTTTGAAGCCTACTACATCCTAACATGATTATCGCAATAGAACAGACTAACCCATTAAAAACAAAAACTAACAATACTTTTACCCCCAGGTGAGGACACCACACAATGGAAGAAAATGGTCGTCTTGACTAGCAACAAAAAGAAGGAGAACGACAGCGAAGAGGAGCTCGAATACGATCCCGCCCTGTATCCTCAGCGCGTGGGCAGGCAGCAGCGCGTTCTGGACATCCAGTTCAACTTCAACGATGGTCGTCGCGGACCTGGTGGCTTCGGAGGACGTGGTGGCCGTGGAGGTCCACGACCAGGTGGTGGATTTGGCGGACCACGCACCGAAGGAGGCAATCGCGAGGGCGGCAACCGTGAGGGTGGCGGCAACAACCGCGAGGGTGGAAACCGCGGTGGCCCGCGAGATGGTCAGTCTGGCAGGCAGGAGCAGCATAATAACGAGGGCGGTGCTCCGTCCGCTCAGAGCCAGAGGCCGCCAATCGAGCGTCGTGGTCCGGGCAACAACCAGAACAATCAGAACAACAGCGGTCCAGGTCAAAACAAGCGTTTCGAGCGACAACAGAACACTGCTCCCAAGGTCAACGATGAGCGTCAGTTCCCCACACTGGCTTAAGTCACGAGAGGATTTAGGCAGGAGGTTGCTCCTCAAATTGCAGTTTTGGTGACTGAAGAGATGAAGAAGAAGGAAATCAGCAAGTTACCAAAATGAAATCTTATAACTTACATATATCACAGACAAGAAACTTTTTAACAACAAAGAGGGGGAAATCGAAGATGAAACAATTGTAGCCGCCATATAAGCCAAAAGCAACAAAAATACCAACCAACAAAGCTAAGCAAAAAATTGATAATAAATTATACATACATATTTAAATATATGACCAGAACACACGAAAAGCAATTTTAGTTTATGCGTGGCCAACTAATCAGATTTTACGCTATAAAATCGCGATCAAGCAAGTGACCTCGTGTAAACTAGTCAGAGTCAGGGGCTAAGTCATCCTCATTAGGGATTTTACATCTAATGTCTGTTCACCAGTCGACGAGATTTGTTTCGAGATTTTTCTATATAAAAAACGGCATGGGCGGACATAGAAATTGTTTTATTACATCAACCAAATCCAGATGTAAAGTTGTTTTTTTTATGTTATTACCAATCACTTAATCAAAATCATCCTATCTAATAAAAAACCAATTACAGTCGCTAACCAGTGAACAGGGCGAATAAAATAAAATAAACTAAAGATAAAATATATAATATACAACATCACGGCCTGACAAATTCTTCGATAAAAAGAAGCAAAATACACTACATTACAATAGTTTGTTTTCATTGAGAGAACAGTAAAAGCATTTTCATTACTCATATAAAATTTTTGTTCTATTACGAATCACATTTTCGTAGAGAAATGTACGTTTTATTATTTTTACTATGTTAACTTTTATTTAAAATAAAGAAAACAAAATGGACAAATATTAAAATCAGTAGTTGGAAAGAGAAAACCGAAAGAATAGTAAGTGTTAAAACCTTTGTAATTGTGTTTCTTGGATGCAAATTCTATAATTAAACATTTAAATTTAATAATTATAAAGCAAACTATGCATCATATATACTACTTTTAATTATAAAAACCTAACTGAACACACACACACTGAAATACAAAGCAAAACAATATTAATTTAAGCATTATTAAAGAAATAAAAACAAAAAATATCGATTAACTATTGGAGCAAATTATAAACCTTTAATAAGTAGATTTACAGTTGGAGGAGGGCCGCTTTCAAGTCAGATGATAGAAACCACTCCTAGAAACGATAGTACGAAGATCCCTGTAAAATCGTTTGCTTCTATTAATTAGAAACTGTATAAATTATATGAGATATATATTCGTACATACTTGGTAAAATCAATTTTATGACGGCAAAACAAAACACACAAAACAAAAGAATAAGCAAGCAAAGTAAGGAAAAGAAGAAACTCGTAGATGAACAAAATATACGACATTTTTTGAAATATTGTATTGTATTTTGACCCAAAGAAACAAACCATTCAACAGCAACCAAATGTTGAGCAACTCGTTTAAACATAAAACAAGAAAATTTATTTGATAAAAATAAAGAAACAAAAAAACACTTGAATTTGAAGACTTTAATGGGAATGAGAATCGAAGAGAAAGTGAAAACTATTAAAAAGCGTGGTGTTTAATTTGAAGCAAGTGGTACTTTCCAAAGGTTTCGGAAATATTTTAAGCGTTTTAAATTTCATTGCAATGGAAAATTCTGCTGGCTAGAAAATTAAAATATAAAAATGAATTTAGCAAATGAGAACTATAATATAGGAAACTAAAAAACGAGTACCTACGAAAACAAAAAAAAAAGCGGGAAATGCTAATTGGCGCGTTACACATCTGATAGAATCTCCATTTTTTTTTGAATGAAAAAATCCAAATCAATCTTACGCGCCAAAACGAGCACGAGCATGAATGAACAGGCAAGCACGAACAAAAAGCATGCGAAAGTTCAGAAAAAATGAGTCCCTGAATAAAAATGTAAGAATATGAAAACTATGTACGAAATATTTTCAGTGAATGTAACAAAGAATTTGTGGATAAAACATGCCAAAGCTAAAAAGGAACCGCAAAGATAAAAATTAAAAACGTGAAATGAAAAATGATGAAAAACAAGGTGGTAAGGTCAAAAATGTGGAAATTGAGCAAGAGAATCTGAATGAATGCGCGGGAATCTAGATTAAATAAATATTTTTTAAAACAGTCTGCAACTTCTTTGCAATTTTCAGCAGAGCATGCTTTGCATTTTCAATAACATTGATACCCCTAAGTAAATGCTTTTTCACAATTAGATTCTGAAATTGAACACTTTTAAGAACTTTCCCGCGCGGACTCATATTTTTTTCGGTTGTGGAGAATGAGCGTAAGTAGAAGCCAAGTGAAATTTCGAGAACTTTTAATAGTTGCGCGCGAGTCTAGATGATTTTTTATTAACTTTAACTAAAGCATGTTTTGCATTTTTAATAAAAATTAAAATCACATTTTATTTAAACCACTACCTTTTTGTAATTTTTTGTATACTTCTTAAGTTAATGATTTTTCACAAAAAGATTGTCAATTGAACTCTTTTAACAACTTTCACGCGGATTATATCCAGTTAGAAATGAATGCAAAAGGAAAAGACAAACTTCAGGCCTGCCAACTTGTGCAAAAGGCACAGTCAAATAGGGAAAGAATGCGTGTCTCACACAACTTGGCGCTTCGACAGCCCTAGAACATAACGGTGACTAGCAAAAGGAGAGCAAAAAATGGACGCCAAGCGAATGGGGCCAAAAGGAACTTGCAAAGAGTTTTCTTGGTAATCTATAATTTTAAATGAAAATTTAAAAGGAAATTTTTAATAGCATGAAGTATTTAATGTACTTTCTTTTTCTTCAAAGAGCAGGCAATTTAATAAGCCAAGCGAATATCAGAAGATAAATTTAAAAACTTACATTTTTACTTAACATGCTATAAGTATCAAGAAGAAACATTTTTCTAGCACTTTTAATTTATGGCTCTGTGCAATTTATATGGAATTCCTTGCTTTTTGCGCGACACTTGTATAATTCTATAACAACGATTTGTGGCTCCGAATTTAAAAAATATTAGAAAACTGAAGTTCCGCACGCTTACCTTGTATTTCATCGAGTTTTTAAATAAAAAAATCACTTAAAATTTATTTCACAAATTAAACGACGAGGAAGCACTTCGCGCAAATTCGAATTTCGAAATGGCCGAGCTATTCGTTTAGAGCTGGGAAAACACCTTTCGATAGACGGATAAGCCTGTTGAAGCGATAGCCACGGTTATATCCTCTACTCACAGCGAAACATCGACCCGTTCACACTCAAAAGAGAATGTGAAAATGTATTACTAACGATAATAATACAAAAACTATTGAGATCTAAGTTCAACATTTTTATTATCTTGCCCGCAGCTTATGGTTTGTATTCTATATATTAGAGCACATTTTGCTCTCTTAAGAAGAAAATGGAATAGACCACAACAAACCGAAAGCGAAGAAGAATGGAACAAGTAAATTGAGTTTTCTCGTTAGTAAAATGGATTACAACGAAAAATTAAATACCATTTCGACACTATCATCCATTAACAAAAACTGCCGATGACTAATATAAGTTAACTAAAAACTAAAACATGCTTGTATTTATCGCTATTTTATGGAATAAAAGATTTTTTAAATTGTGACACTGTCATTCAAAACAAAATTCATCTTTAATAACAGCAAGATATATACGCAACCTATCACAGACAGACCATGTATCCAAATTTTCTCAGCAAATATTTTATATCGCACTAAGTGAATGGATAGAGATAGGTCTAAACTTTTTTACAAAAAATCATTTTCCAAAAAATCTTTGTTTAAAAAATTGCAAAAAAGGGAGATAGCCTCAGCGTAAGTGTCAGTAAAAAAGGGAGATAGCGCTAAACGAAAAGGAAGAGTGAAAGGAACAAGTGCGCAAAACAGGGATGCAAAATCTATCAATATTTCGATATTCTTGAATAAACATAAATATTTATATCGAGGTATTTTTTCCGACAGCCCTAGAGGGCGCTTCTCCTCCAATGTCCAAAAATACTAGACATATAGAAAAATACCGATTTCATTTATTGGCGGGCTTTCACTGGCCACGTTGATTTAGCGGAGACACGCTCCTAAGGGCTTCTTAAGCGGAAAAAATACTTCTTTTGCAGAAACATCTGATCAGCAAAGCAAACAGAAGAAAAGAACAAGCAAATTAAGTTTTCCCGATAATAAAAAAAATTGCAACGCAAAAATAAATATAGTTTTGACTTAAGCAAGTGGAACGTTCTCCAAGGCTAATAATTTATCAAAGGCTGTCGGCAAATACTGAACAAGTCCAGGTAAACATTGAATTTCTTTGCATTTGCTTACTGAAGAAGAACTTGGTCGTTGAATCAGAAAACCGCCTGTCTGAACAGACTACCACATTTCCGATTCCAGTGGAATTCCAGTTGGAAACGGCTACTGCTCGGCATGGCTTGGTATTTCTTGGCAAGCGGCCATGCGGTACCACTAAATCGCGTTAGGGCTATTCTTCCAACTCGTTCTGCGAATACAGAAACGAAAAAAATAGTAAACAACTTTTATTGGAGGGAAAAGAGGTAATAGCTCGCTTGCCACACAAAAGTCGGTGACATTAGCAGAATATAGAATACAACCGGTTCCCGACGACAGTTAACCTAACCTCTGATCTCTAGAGATACAGCTGCCCAACATGAGCGTGGAGGAGGAAGTGTTTCGGATCCAGAAGAAGATGAGCAAGATTTCGATGGCCAGCGACGGGACAGTGAGTTTGGGGGTTAATCAAACAGGCCATGTCACCCATTATATCATTATATTCACCATACAGGGACAGGAACAGGCCCTGGACCTGCTGAAGGCCCTGCAAATGCTGAACATCAACCTGGACATCCTGACCAAGACGCGGATTGGCATGACGGTGAACGAGCTGCGCAAGAGCAGCAAGGACGACGAGGTGATTGCCCTGGCGAAGACCCTCATCAAGAACTGGAAGCGCTTCCTGGCCAGCCCGGCGCCCACGACGCCCAACCACAGCTCCTCCAAGGAGGGCTCCACCAACAACAGCAGTGCCGCCAAGTCCTCGAGCGCCGCCAAGTCTTCCTCTTCGTCGTCCTCGGGGAAGGACAAGTCCAACAGCAGCGGCGGCGGCAGCAGCTCCTCTTCCAAGGACAAGGAGAAGAAGGCTTCCTCGTCCTCCTCACAATCATCGTTTCCCTCCGGCGGCATGACGGATGCGGTGCGCATCAAATGTCGCGAAATGCTGGCGGCCGCCTTGAAAATAGGTGAAGTGCCCGAGGGATGCGGGGAGCCCGAGGAGATGGCCGCCGAACTGGAGGATGCCATCTACTCCGAGTTCAAGAACACCGACATGAAGTACAAGAATCGCATTAGGTCACGCGTGGCCAACCTGAAGGACCCCAAGAACCCCGGCCTGCGTGGAAACTTTATGTGCGGCGCCGTGACTGCCAAGCAGCTGGCCAAGATGACGCCCGAGGAGATGGCCAGCGACGAGATGAAGAAGCTGCGCGAGAAGTTCGTCAAGGAGGCCATCAACGACGCCCAGCTGGCCACCGTGCAGGGCACCAAGACCGATCTCCTCAAGTGCGCCAAGTGCAAGAAGCGCAACTGCACCTACAACCAGCTGCAGACCCGCTCCGCCGACGAGCCTATGACCACCTTCGTCATGTGCAACGAGTGCGGCAACCGGTGGAAGTTCTGCTAACTCCCGCATCAGCTCCGAGCACGCCACTCCACACACACCCCCTTCATATTCTTATAAACATTGTAAAGACACGAGACATGCGAGAACACATTTTGTATCTGCTGCCCGATCGCGGAGGCGCTTACTCTGACCACCTAAACCCAAGAGAAAACAAATTTCAATAAACATTAACTATTGATAAAACGGAGACACACGCAGTCGGTTTTCTGCTATTTCGAATGCCGGTGATAACGCCATGCCGCTGATAACACGGCAGTACTATCATTGGCAGTGGTTGTGTGGCTCCAAGAAGAACTTGAGCATGGTTTTTAAATTACGATACGTAAAAGATGGAATTTAGGTAATTATGAGCTCAGCAATTAAAAAATAAATTTTTAATAAAATAAAATAAATAAAATTTTGAACTGATATTTCCAGTTTTTTAATTAATGGTTTTCTAACAAGTTCTATTTTATTAATAGCTGCCTAAAAATTCTTTTTTTTTGTAATTAGACATACATTGTTTGATTATTTGTTTAAATATAGAGGAAAATCCACTTTCGCCTGCTGCCATTTTGAACTGACGCCTCGCTTTACAACACTTAAAGTTCGATAGCTCTTATTATCGAATTTCAAAAGAATTGGGAAATATTCAAAAGCAAGTTAAATCGCTGTTTAGTCTACATCAATGTCGAAATATATGGATATAATGGAGACCCACGTTTCAATGCCATCATCCATATCTAGTGTTAGCTTGTAGGTTCCTTTTGGTAATGGAACCTTCACAAACATACCATCGTTCAAGGTGCAGTTCCTTACGTAAACATCACTCTATTTATATAAATAAATTATTCAAAACATAAAGAAGACGATCAAAAGGATTAAAACTACTCACATTGAAGGGACAAGTATGATTCAGGTTGGAATAGGGCATAAAAGCGGTGTAGAACCAGTAGAAGACATCTAGACGATTTGGATGCTTCAGTGATCGACAGAGTTCTTTGGAAACATTGAATAGAAACGGGTGGTAACCGTTGAGTTTCCGATAAGTGATAAATCTTGTTACCATCCGGTTTATTGGTAACTTAAGGACTTTCACATGGATGTTGGCGGCTATAATTCCCCTTCCAAGGACTTTCAGTCGGCACTCGGGAAAATCAATGTACGATTTGTCAAAGCTCTCGCACTTGAGATTAGTGAGGCGCACATATCCGTGGTACTCCCCAATCAGAAGGACCCAGATCCACAGAAGTAGAATCATTGCTGCTATTGACCTGAATGCACTAAATATTATTGTTCTATGCAAGCCTAATATAATCCAGATTTGGATACCCTAATTGGAATACAAGCTAAACATTCTTAATTGGATTTTAATACGTAAATAATAAATAAAAAATCTCTGATGGAGATAAAATGGATGGCGTTGACAACTTGACAACCAAAGCTTCCTAATGAGCTTATAGAGTACGTCTGGGTTCGACGTACTGCTGTACATGTTTTGTGATCTGGGAAAATAAAATAACCAAAATAACGAAATTTTAAAAGTAAACTTACAGTAAGTGGTCCTTAACTTACTTGCGATAAAATTTAAAGATATATGTATAAATATGTATAAGCAAACAAAATTGTCATTTTTGAATTTTAGTCAAGGCGGTAACTTGCAATTAGAGATGCCCGAAAAAAAATCGATAAGTGACACAGCGGTGACAGCAACCTAGTAGAGCAGAGTTTACAGAGCGCAGAAACGAGGAAGAATTCGGCGTCGATTTTTCCAGTTGAAATCGATTATTCAGAGTGACCGCTTGGAAAAAGTCCAAAACACTTCAGTGCACCGATATATTTGATAGACAGTTCCCTGGTCACACTGCTCTGAAACCGATCGTTTTTGGCTGTTTTCTCGCGCAAAGTTCGACTTGATTTGACTTGATTCGACCCGATCCGCCGCGGCCAATAAACAAATGATAAGGGCCGAAATGGCCAAAAGCCTGTAGTGAGTGCGATTCACCTGTTGCTCGGCTGACCTGTGCGGAAAAGCGGACCTCGGCGCGCGCTGCACTTTTCCAGCGATTGTTGGTGCGTGACCTATTTATGTAACCTGTTTTCAAAAAGAATATCCCGCTTTCGACTGGACCGAAAAAGAGTGTTAATTAAACGGCTATTTCTCGTTGAATACCCACGGTTCGGCTCGGTTTGGTTCCGAAAAAGCGAAAGAGTGCCAATTCTGAGGCAACAATTAAGGTAGAGAGTGATTGGAAAAAAGAAAAGAGTGCATTAACCCTGCCCAGACGGTGTGTGTGTGAGTGTGTGTTCGTTGGGGCTGGAAAAGCCAGCAAGGGAAAACGAAATGACAAGGGTCACAGCATCGCGGCATCGGTGCAACTTTAAGTATCATCGATTTTATTGCCGTTTTTAAAGGCCTTTTGCCCGAGACGAGAACGAGACGAAGACGTGGCTGCATGCATTTTTATTGCTTTAAGCGACTGACCAAATTAAATAGCTACGCTTCAGGTTTCGTTGGCTAGAACGGTACTAACATGCACACTGCCAACTACCAGCGCAGCCCCACTCTCTCGCACTCACACACGGGCGCACACAGGTACAGGTACACCTGCCGAAGAACGGCGGTGCGAGCGAGAGGGGAGATGCGTAAAGAGCGGCTCACAGTGCAACACATTCATGGGTGCTCGTGCCCGTGCCCCTGCCGCGCCCCCTTTCCACCCCTTCGCTGTGGCGCTCTCTCTTCCATTTTCTCTCTCCTTGAGCTTGAACCAGGCTTCCACACTGAAAGAAATAAGATCGTTATAAAACGGAAGTGCTATGGATTTCGGTTTTGAATTTTGTACAATTTTGTAATGGTTTTGATTTGTGAATAGTATTACATCATGAAATTTCTCAAATGTAGGTTTCAAAATAATTTGCAAACGATATGATGTCTTAAAAAAGGTTGATAAACACATTTATTAGATTATTGTTGTAGAAAAGCTATAAAAGCTTATTCGTAAGGAAAGATTACTGTTAACTGATAACTGTTATTTTTGATCATTATTATAAAAGTGCACAGAAGTAAACCTTCGTTTTTTTCATTCTTTTTATTTTGCTTAGTATTTATATTTGAAGGACTTTGAAAAACAAGTTATTTTCTGTCCCTGCTTAAAATTAGAATAATTTACATTTTCACGTTATTATATTGAATGTATAATTTTGCAACTTTGTTTCAAGGCTTTCGCTTATCATATCATATTAATTAAAATTTTCTCTCTGTGCAGCGGTCAAGAATTCTCGAATTGACAATAGCAACAATAGCAACAACAACGCAGGCACACTTGTTTGTCCGGTTTGTTGTTTTTGCTGTTGCACAACGGGACATTTCGTGTGTGGACAATTGGAAAAACCCTTTTTCAAATAAACGCTTTTCATTAGCCGGTTTTTGTTTCTTCTCTCCCATCTCAACCTTTTTTTGCGTTTCCATTTGGGTTGTTGGGTTCCATTAATGTTGTGTTGCTGCTGTTGTTGTGGTTTTTTGTTGTTGTTGCTGGGGGCTTTCGCGCACGCAGCGACTTTCTGTTTGTTTGGTGAAACTTTTTTAAGGTCTTCTCTAAATACATAATAAAAAAATGAACATAATACTTTGCCCAGTTTCTTGCTGTTGTTGGTGAGTCGTTAGTTTTTTTTAGAAGATTTGAGTTGTAAAACCAGAAACAAATTGTGTGAAAAGATATCTAGCTTTGCGAAAAAGAATTTTGATGAAAAATGACAGAATTGTGGAAAGAAAAACATTGCTTAAAATAAGGTAGGTAAGTTGCTTTTTAAAATAAACACAACAAATTGGATGGAAATGGAAAATAATTTTGAGGTATTAAAAATGCATTTCATTATTTATTCATTTATTATTCGCATTTGTAGACCCTACTGTTATAACTCTTATTCCTCCAATGTAAACTTTACTTTGGATATAATAATAATATTTTACTTCAAAGAATACTAAATCAATAAGCATATAGTTAATTATGTTATATATGAGTATATTCAATAACCCCAATAAATAAAAAAACCATTGAACTATCTGAATGAAACTCTGATTAGGTTATCATTTCGTGTGTGTCGATTCAGGCGAACCTACATAATTGTTGTACTGCTGTTATACCACAGATTGCTCAAAAAGTGACAACGACATGGTGTCAAGTGTCAAAGTCAAAGTGAACAAAAAGTGGGTTCATTAAACAATTTGTATTAGCGCGATATATGTATTATGGGTATGCGTATATATGTAGAGTGGATGGCATAAACATAAACTTAAACCGTAATTGTACGTGGCAGCCACACACGAACTTTCACTAATGACTCTCGATGAACTTTTGGATCACTCACAACACCACTCATACCACTCGAAACGCACTCTCTCAGTCACTCACATATATCTCGTAGATATATGCACTTAGATACGTGCCAATCGTGTGTCATTGAAGGCACTAACCAAAGCAAAATCTGCAGAGACGGAAATTCTTAGACGCTTTCTGCCTGATTCTTACAATTCTTAATCGTTTTTGGTCATGTCTGCCTCACCCCTTGAATTTACACCTTGTTTAATGTTTTCTTTTTTACTTATCTCTACCTGCACTCCGGGGAGCTACGATAACAGCTGAATGGGCATTAAGCAATCATTTTTAAATAATTCGGGCATGACTGTGTTTGGTTTAAGTGGTCTCTTGATTTAGAAAACCATTAAGTTAGACCGTGGAATATATGTATGATTTATGGAACCCCAGGCAATGTTTTTTTTAAAGTGTTTAAAATTTTGAAAAAACCTTAATGGAACTATTATGTCTTGTGTCACTATTTACTGTTCTAAAATAAAATTTAAAAAAGTACATAATTTTTTCCGGGTTTTACAGAGTTATTCCAAGTAGTACCCACTTTATTCATGACTTTAGAAGACAGTAAGGGAATTATACTACTAAGTAGAGTACTGATAAGAAGACAACGAGTATTGGGCAATATTATTTAACATTCTACGTTTGTATGTATCAGATAACTGCTTGAACTCTACCCAACAATTCAGGTTGCTATATAGTGTGTTGCTATGTCTGAGTGTGGATCGCGGATAGTTGGGTTCCCTATATGCATTGGACTCGTATTTTGACCGGCAGAGCGTAACCAGACTGGTATGTGTGCGAGTATACGTGCCGCCGTGTGCCACTAAATTTGGTTGCTCTTGCTGTTGCTGCTTTTTTGTCTGGCATGTTGCAATTACTATGGAGAGGAAGAGGAGAGACGCCTCCAAATGAGTAACTATACTATACTATACTACCGCTGATACCATACCTCTGCGGCGGCAGCCGTTAGTCCATGTGTTAAATGATGGATGGGGTGTCCAATTGAAAGGCGGTTTCGATGGTAACCGACTGGGAAATGACGCCAGTTTGAAATTCTGATTCATGGCTGGCTTGGAAAATGAAGCAGTTGAGTTAAAAAGCAGATCTAAATGTTGATTAGATGAGATTTCCTGCGGTTTTCGGGTGATGAAATGGATCTTTTAAAAAGATAAATTGAATTAAAGATCAACAATCTTTCAACGTGATTTAAAAATAGTCTTGATTACAAATAGTCAGCATCGGTGATCACCATTCTTCCGGCTGAACTCGTCGGATTGGGTTGGGAGCGTGGTAAAAATTAAGATTTTGCGTTTGATATGTTTGCAAACAACTTTTGCCTTACTAAGTTGTAAATATTATAAAGGGTTTTTGGCCAATAAAAAAAATAGGTCGTTCTAGTTTCCAATGTTAGTTATTTTCACTTATTATTTTTTTGAAGGGTGGTTTCCCTTAACAGAATTTCGTCAATGTCAACACCTTTCTAATTGAAGACGGTGCAGAGTTTTCTACTGCCTAAACCGAATATATAGTTAAACTACTGTCATGCCGTATAAAGTAATGAAAGTAAATTTTTTCAATGAAAACCAAGTCAATTTGCATAACAAACGCAGCTCATTGATACCTTCGATTTCGGTTAGACCCTCTTTTTCGGGTGGTTCTCGTATCGAATCGATTGTTCGGGGCGACTGAAGTTAAAAAGTGAAAATAGCTCGATGGCCTTTTTTGCATGTCTAAAGGCTTAAAGGTTTATTTGTTTTGTATAAGATCTTCGGTCACGTATGTGATCGTTTTAGGTCGCTTTTGGTTTCCCTAGTTTCGAGGAGAGAAGAAAATAAGTATCGAAAGTATGATTTTTATGGATGTGTATTTAGACGGATGACTAATTCGTTGTTGTTTTTGTTTGGTTAATGAGTTGCCACTTTGGATCGAGACTTAATGTTGGCCAAATCGAGGAAAGAAAGACGTTTACCTCAAGCTAGGAAAGCGCTATGATAGCGTCAAGAACGACAAAGAGACGACGGACCACAAACGAAGACAGCGACAAGTTGTGAATTCTTTCAATTTACCGTAAACTTCACCTTAATTTTTTTTCTCCCAAGCCGGTTTTATTTGCCGCAGGCGCTAACTTGTATTTCGTTATTGTTGTTCACGGCTAACTCTTCCACTGGTTTTTCTTTTGGAACAGAAAAGTAACACAAGAGGCAGCAGCAGCAGCAGCGAAGAGGAACGGGCCTTTGTCTCTGGATGCCAACCCAGGATCAGTAAATGAAGGACGACGAATATGGTGATTGTAACACGTGTAAGTATTTCATTCCCTATTAGCGAGCGAGAAGTGGGGGTATCATTCCTTATCCAGGTACTCCATCTATCTCACTTTTCCCTCTGCCATGAACACCAACCAACAGAAGCAAAAAGCGGAAGTTCCACGCCATGCCTCACTTCAACTCCCATTACTCTTGCACAGTGGTGGATGGAAAAGTAGTATAGGGTGTAACAACAGGTTGCTCAATGCAACAGGTTCTACAAATTGTTTGTTAACTTTGGAGGTTCTTATATTAAAATATTTTGAAGTTCTTAAAATGATACACAAGTTCACAGAACAGCTTTCTCTCCAATATTTGTAAATCTAAGACTACTAGTAAAGTAAAGAAATCTACTACAATCTAAAGAAATCTCCAAATAATTATCTGTAATACAGAGAACTAAATTGTAATGATGATCTTAACTCCGTTTTTTAATAAGCAAAGACCCAGATCTTAAAAGTCTGTTGAAAGAACCTTATTTATAAATCTGAAATACCAGTTATCCATAATTAAATAGTTAAAACTCAATTTTAATTGTATACCTTCATATTATTGGCCTTTTACTTAACTTCTAGTAACTACCTTGATCTTAACCTTGTTCTGTTGTAAAACCCTTGAAATACCTCCTGCTCACCCATATATTTCCGCCCATCACTGTGCATAGCTCATGTCTGTCCCTGGTATCACTATTTTCGTTGCGTTCCGCTCAAGTGAGTCTTACAACAAACAGCACACGGTCTTTATGGCCCCCATGTCCATGGCAACCGAATGCGGCAGCCTCGTAAAGAACTGAATGTCAAATTGTAAAATCGTAAAATAGTAAAATGGTTAAAAATTGGAAAATGTAATTACGCTTCTAATCGACAGGGTGACTACATCTGGATAGAGCCCGCCTCGGGGCGAGAATTCGATGTGGCCATTGGAGCACGTGTCGTCTCCGCGGAGGGTCGTCGCATCCAGGTGCGCGATGACGATGGCGACGAGGTGTGGCTGGCCCCGGAGCGCCGCATCAAGGCCATGCACGCGTCCTCCGTCCAGGGAGTGGAGGACATGATATCCCTGGGTGATCTGCACGAGGCTGGCATCTTGCGGAACCTGCTCATTCGGTACAAGGAGAATCTGATCTACGTGAGTAGCACCTCCATAAGTAACGGTCAAAACAAGAATTACAGTATAAATCATTATAATTTACTCTTAAATTTATTGATCAATAAGTATTTTTATTCAAAACTTATAAATTGATCGTAAATGCTCGTTAAGATTCAATTATGTTGCGCCATCACTCATTGAATTGTAGATATAAATTCCTATCTTCCTCAATCGATTTTGGGGTCTTTTCAGTTTTTGATTCCCATATATTTTTTATCGTGCTCAACTTCAAAGAATTTAAATTGAAGGTCAGAGAAATATGAAAAGACTTAAATAATTTCTTTTGTTGGTATTATATAATTAAAGTATAATTATAAAGTGTGCTTCTATATAAACGCTCCTTGTTTTCCTTACTTTCAGACATATACCGGCTCCATATTGGTTGCCGTCAATCCCTACCAGATCCTCCCCATCTACACGGGCGATCAGATCAAGCTCTACAAGGAGCGTAAAATCGGGGAGCTTCCGCCGCACATCTTTGCGATAGGAGACAATGCCTATGCGCACATGAAACGATATCGCCAGGATCAGTGCATCGTGATTTCGGGAGAGTCGGGAGCGGGAAAAACAGAAAGCACAAAGCTGATCCTTCAGTATCTGGCTGCGATTAGTGGCAAGCACTCATGGATCGAGCAGCAAATTCTAGAGGCGAATCCGATTCTAGAGGCATTCGGAAATGCCAAGACCATACGCAACGACAACTCGTCGCGGTAAATACTATAGTCATAATTTATCACCTGATCATGTATTAATCAACTGATTCTTTATACAGGTTTGGCAAATACATAGATATACACTTTAGCGCCAATGGCGTGATCGAGGGAGCCAAAATCGAACAATACCTGCTGGAGAAGTCACGAATTGTATCCCAGAATCATAGCGAACGCAATTATCATGTATTTTACTGCATTTTGGCGGGACTTTCGTCGGATGAGAAGAGCCGCCTTGATCTTGGCATGGCGGCTGATTATAAGTAAGGGTTCTACATAAACAAATACTAATTGGAACCTTTATTAATTTAATTAAACTATTATAGATATCTGACTGGTGGCAATAGTATCACCTGCGAGGGACGAGACGATGCCGCCGAGTTCTCGGATATTCGGTCAGCCATGAAGGTTTTGCTCTTCTCCGATCAGGAAATCTGGGAGATTATTAAGCTGTTGGCTGCCCTGCTCCACTGTGGCAACATAAAGTACAAGGCGACTGTGGTGGACAATCTGGATGCCACCGAGATACCGGAACACATAAATGTGGAGCGTGTGGCGGGGCTTCTTGGACTGCCCATTCAGCCTTTGATTGATGCCCTCACACGCCGTACCCTCTTTGCTCATGGAGAGACTGTGGTGTCTACCCTGTCGCGGGATCAGTCTGTGGATGTGCGGGATGCCTTTGTAAAGGGAATCTACGGACGAATGTTTGTACACATCGTTCGGAAGATCAACACTGCTATCTTTAAGCCGCGAGGCACTTCAAGGAATGCTATTGGAGTCCTCGACATTTTTGGCTTTGAGAACTTCGATCAGAACAGCTTTGAGCAGTTTTGCATCAATTATGCCAATGAGAATCTGCAGCAGTTCTTTGTGCAGCACATTTTCAAGCTGGAGCAGGAGGAGTACAACCACGAGGCCATCAACTGGCAGCACATCGAGTTTGTGGACAATCAGGATGCTCTCGATCTGATAGCTATCAAGCAGCTGAATATCATGGCTTTAATCGATGAGGAGGCACGGTTTCCCAAGGGCACGGATCAAACGATGCTGGCCAAACTGCACAAAACCCATGGAGCCCACAAGAACTATCTGAAACCCAAGTCGGATATCAACACTAGCTTTGGACTGAATCACTTTGCTGGCGTTGTGTTCTATGACACGCGTGGATTCCTCGATAAAAACCGGGACACCTTCAGTCCCGACCTTTTGCATTTGGTTAGCCAGAGTGGCAACAAGTTCCTTCGCCAAATCTTCGCCCAGGACATTGAAATGGGTGCCGAGACGAGAAAGCGAACGCCCACACTCTCCACTCAGTTCCGGAAATCCCTAGACGCTCTGATGAAGACCCTCTGCAGTTGCCAGCCATTCTTCATTCGGTGCATCAAACCGAACGAGCTAAAGAAGCCCATGATGTTCGATCGTGGTTTGTGCTGCCGCCAGCTGCGTTACTCCGGGATGATGGAGACAATCCGGATCCGTCGAGCTGGGTACCCCATCCGGCATGGATTCAGGGAGTTCGTGGAGCGCTATCGCTTCCTGATACCCGGAGTGCCACCAGCGCATCGCACGGATTGCCAGGCGGCCACTTCAAGAATATGTGCTGTGGTCCTGGGCAAGTCCGACTATCAGCTGGGTCACACGAAGGTGTTCCTGAAGGATGCTCATGATCTGTTTCTGGAGCAGGAGCGGGATCGAGTACTGACGCGAAAGATTCTTATCCTGCAGCGAAGCATCCGGGGATGGGTTTACCGGCGACGGTTCCTTAGACAGCGAGCCGCTGCCATATCCGTGCAGAGATTCTGGAAGGGCTATGCCCAGCGCAAGCGCTACAGGAACATGCGAGTGGGCTATATGCGTTTGCAGGCCTTGATTCGTTCCCGAGTTTTGTCCCATCGTTTCCGCCACCTGAGGGGTCACATCGTCGGTCTGCAGGCCCACGCCCGCGGCTATTTGGTGAGACGGGAGTAT